ATTGATCAGAAGAATTATAACAGTGCTTAAAAAATGATACCTAGAAATATGAACTTTGGAGCCCCAAGTTCCTAGTTTTGTATCCTGACAATGCTGCTTACTTGAATGTGATAATTGAGTAAACAATTATTATTAATTTCCTCACAGTTAGTAGAAGATATTATGAGTGCTTGCCTCAGAAGATTGCTGAAAAAAATTGAATGAGACTATAGTAAAGCAATTAGCATACTTCCTGCTGTGTAGTAGGTAGTCAAAAAAATAGTAGATGTTTGCTCTTTGGATGGACTTGGAACCGGATTAATATTCAAAACATCAACTGAGAGGGTGAATAGCTTCTACTTGTTTTGGTTGTTATTTTTTCAAATAGACAGTAAGTTTCCCAATGTCCCTGGGTTTTAATATGGCTTTCATTGCCCTTTTTAATTACCAAAGTAACACAGGCTCACTCACTGGGCAACAGTGCTGAAACACAAATCTTCACCTCATGCTTTATCCTGCAACTCCTTGCCAAGAGACAAGGTGGTCAGCCTTCAGTATTATTCAGTTCTCTATGGATTTAGCCAACCACAGATTGAAAATACTGTAATAAAGGATTTCATCTGCATTGAACATGTAGAACCAACTTTTTGTCACTAGTCCCTAACTTGTAATTATTTTCATAGGATTTACTATGCATTATGTGTAATCCCTTTAGGGATGACATAAAGAAGATGGACATGTGGTAAGTCATACACAAATACAGTGCCATTTTATGCAAGGACCATAAGCATCAACAGATTCTGGTACCTGTGGGATTCTTCAGACCTTTGGGAATAACTGTATGGAATTGGTGGTGGATTTGAAGGAAGGCAATAATATCTGTCACATAAGCATGACATATGTACGTCTTTTCTCCTTATGTGTTTCATGGCATGGAGGTTTTTCACTACTTTTTCTTTTTTTTTTTGGGTCTGGTCGTGGGGCCTGAACTCTGGGCCTGGGCGCTGTCCCTCAGCTCTTCAGCTCAAGGCTAGCGCTCTACCACTTGAGCCACAGCACCACTTCCGGCTTTTTTTCTTTTTGCTTATGTGGTGCTGAGGAATCGAACCCAGGGCCTCAGGCATGCAAGGCAAGCACTCTACCACTGAGCCACCTTCCCAGCCCCTACTTTTTCATTCTTTAAGTCTTGCTTATTTGTTCACTTATGTATTCACTCACTTAATGATTACATGCCAGACAATATGGTGGGCGCCAGGACAATAATAAATAATACTGCAATAAAGATCTCCGTGCAGGGCTGGGAAGATGGCTCAGTGGTAGAGTGCATGCCTTGCATGCATAAGGCCCTGGGTTCGATTCCTCAGTACCACATAAAACAGAAAAATCCAGAAGTGGCGCTGTGGCTCAAGTGGTAAAGTGCTAGCTTTGAACTGAAGAGCTGAGGGACAGCACCCAAGCCCAGAGTTCAAGCCCCACAACCGACAAACAATCAAACAAACAAATCTATGCAAAATTTGAAAAGGAAATAGCACCTTTTTTTATTGTTGAAACATGCTTAGAAGATGCACAGGGTGGCCCTTAGATAAACAGCCGCAGGCACAGAGTAGACATGCAATAAGAATTTGCTCAGCAAACAAATAACTTTAGCTTTGTTCAGAGCAGGAGTTATTTTAAGAGGAGATAAGTACTATAGATATGCTTTCCTACCTTAATCAAACCAAAAAAGTGTCTATAACCCTTGACTTGGAAAAAAAATGACAAGAAACACTGTTACTGCCAGCCTTAGCCTCTTATTTTGAGATGGTATCTCACTATACAGCCTAGGCTGATCCAGAATGTTCCATCTTCCTGCCTCAGACTACTGAGAGCTGGGGTTACAGATGTGAATGACTGCACCCAGCCCTACCAGCCCTACCAGCCCTACCAGCCCTACCAGCCCTTAGAGCACTCAGCACTAATTTTCTTTTTTTGTCAGTCCCGGGGCTTGAACTCAGGGCATGGGCACTGTCCTTGAGCTTCTTTTGCTCAAGGCTAGTAATCTTCCATTTGAGACACAGTGCCACTTATGGCTTTTTCTGCTTATGTGGTGCTGAGGAATCGAACCCAGGGCTTCATGCATGCTAACTTGATCAAGCCCAGCTTGATACACTGTAAGGAAAAAAAAGTATAGTTGAAACTTAAAATGAAACCATATCTTTCTGTGAGAAATAACTATTTTCTTTCTTTCTTTTCTTTTTTTTTTTTTAGAAATCACTATTTTTTGGAAACATACAAATTAAGATGAATATTTTGCTTCCTCATATGTTGGCACTGAGCAAGGAGCATGAAAAAGCATGCAGTTCATTTGTAATTACGTTATTCTATTTATTTGGAGGTATTTAAGCAGTTTAATAAAATTACTTATTTCACAATACTTTACCTGAAGCACAATAGTAACCATGAATTCAAACCACAAATTCACTGGGACTACAAGGAACAATGCACTTCACGGAACAATGCACTTAAGCTTTTCTTATTTCGTCTATATACAAAGCCCACAACATCATTTTCTCGAGATCTGCACAAAGGTTTTACTCATAACTCCCTCTTGTATAATATTTGGGTCATGAAGCAGGGAGTAGGTGGTCTATTCACCCAAACTTGTCTATTGTATAGCTCCACATTTGAATCTTGACCCTCTGTTAGGCATGGATTGGACACTCAAATTTCTGGATTAGATCTATGGCTGCCTGCAAAAATAGTTGGCTTGAATTTCCATTTACTTTGACTGCACCCTAGCAAACCAATCCATTTGTTATTGCCTTCTGGGCAAAATGCCTGAAAGCTTTATAAAATTGAAAAGGAACTCCTTATTAAAAAGGAAAAGTGAATCTAAGGAAAAGAAAGCTCAATTGTTGGTGCTCTCTGCTGGGTTCTTACCTTTCTAGAGCTTTAAACAAGTGCATTTTTCCACAAGAAGGATGTTGAAACTTTTGGTTAATTTCAGGAGCAATTTCATTGGGGGAGGGGAAACTTGCTTTGCGTCAACGGTGTACAACTGTCAGTCTGGGACTCTCTTTACCCATTTTCAGTCATCCCGCTTAATAACCATCACCTTTAATAGTCGTAGGCTGATGCTTGTTTATATAAACAGTATCTGCACAAGACACCCAGAGATATTTCTCTCTCTCTCTCTCTCTTTTTTTTTTTTTTGTCGGTCATGGGCCTGAACTCTGGGCCTGGGCGCTGTCCCTCAGCTCTTCAGCTCAAGGCTAGCACTCTACCACTTGAGCCACAGTGCCACTTCCGGCTTTTTCTGCTTATGTGGTGCTGAGGAATCGAACCCAGGGCCTCATGCATGCAAGGCAAGCACTCCACCACTGAGCCACCTTCCCAGCCCGATATTTCTCATTTTTGTTGAGTATATGGAGCCGCCCCTAAGCCAAGGCAATTCCTGAACACAAGAAGTACCCCCCTGGAAGGAGATATTCTCATAAAGTATCTGTCAATTAAATTCAGCCTGTCATTCTAGCTACTGAGAAGGCTGAGATCTGAAGATCTTGGTCCAAAGCCACCTTGGGCGGGCAACTCTATGAAACTATTATCTCCAATTAACTACCCCAAAGCTAGAATTGGAGCTGTGGCTCAAGTGGTGGAGAGCCAGCCTTGAGGAGGGGAAGAGCTAAAAGACAGCGCTCAAACCCTGAGTTCAAGCCCCAGTACCTGAACACACACACACACACACACACACACACACACACACACACCAATTAGACTAATTGCCTGCCTAGACCCTGTGAGTCTGCCATGATTGACTCTGAAAGCAACTCCAAGGAAATACAGAGCCTTGACCATTGTATTTAAGACGGCCACACCCCTTCTTCCCGCCCCCCGCCCCCCAAAAAAACTCGAGCTGCAGAGATCATCAGAGAAAACCACCTAGTGTCTCAAAAGCTGCACAAGCGCAGTCTGTCAGCGTGAGCAGAGACCTGCCTCTTTCCATGTTTATTTTGGTTCCGGTTTCTTGTTCTCACTTAACGGGACAAATGGCAGGATGGTTCGCGGGGTTTCATTAACTCGGGGCATCCTTCCAGCTCACCTAGAGGTGCCACCGGGCGGATGGATGACTAACATTGCCAGGCGATCTTGTGACGTTTGGAAACCTATCCCCTTTGACCTGGGTCCGGGCAACACCCCGTGAATCAACACGGGGGCCCCGGGGGCCCACGCACGGGAGTGAGAAAGCAGTTTCAGAACCCCGCGGAGGTGCGGGGGGTGCTCGATCCCTCCCCCGCCCCACCCCTGAAAGTTCCAGGGAGTGGCACCCGAGGAACTTTCCCAGATTGAGCGCTGTCACCGCTCGGGGAGGTCTGCCCGCCCGGCGCGCTCGGCTCTGCCTGGCCAGCCCGCAGCCCGACGGGGTTGGCTGTGCCAGGCCAAGCCCTTCCCTCCCTTCCCTGCATCCTTACGGAGCGGGGAGGGTCTCCGAGCCGGAGATTGGCTTCTTTCAGAAGTGGCACCGGTTTGGCGAGCTCCGCTCCGTTCGGCGGGTAGAGAGGCAGCGGCGCGGCGGCGGCGGCGGCGGGGCGCGTGGGTGAGTCACTGTTTGGAAATGGAGAGGGCGGGCGAGGGTGTGCGAGAATGAATGATGTCAGGAGCGCGCGGGGCGCAGCGCGCAGGGCGCCGGGCCGCGCGCCGCGCGGGGCCGCGGTAAACACCGAGCCCGGAGCGAGCGAGCCAGCGAGCGTGCGCCGCGCTGCGCCGGGCCGCGGGGCTGAGCCGGCCCCGGGAGACCCCGCCCTCGGCGCGCACCGAGGCCTCCCTCCGCCGCCCCCAGCCCGGCCCCGCGGGCCGCCGAGTGCCGCCTCGGCGGGGGCGGCGGCCCCAGGTGCCACCCGCAGAGCCCGAGGACGAGACCCCGGGCAAACTTTCTCCGCGCTTAGGCCTGTGGGTGGAGCTGGTGGCTGCGGCTGCCGCAGCCGCTCGCCCCGTCCCTGGCCGATCCTCCCTTCCTTCCCCCCACCACACACCGGGAGCAAGTGCCTTCAATCCCGGAGCGTCGCCAGCCCCCGCCGCCAGCGGGTAAGGAGCGCGCCCGCCCCGGGCTGCAGGTTCGTTAGTGGGCCCGGGCTGGGATCGGGGTGGGTGTGTGGGTGTGGGGGGGGAGAGCCCCCATGCGGGCCGACGACCCGGGACCTCATTGCTTCGGGTTTGATCTGCAGGCGGAGGTTGGCTGGGTGGGTGGCTGTGGACCTTGGGCTCATTCATTTGCAGCTCATTTCGGGTTTGGAAAGGCACAAGGTTAAACCACAGAGTCCAAAGCCACTCCGGACAATCAGGCTAAGGGCGTAAGTTGGAGTGTGGTGGGGGAGGAACTGTTCTTTTTTAAGGTCCCCCCCCCCCTTAAGAGGCACTTAGTGATGATGTGGGCACCGTAATAGCCCAGCTCCGGGCTGCCCACACGGAGAGCGTGGCTCTCGGGCGTTCGGAGCGGCGCTCCGCTCGCCTTCCCGGCGCACGCGGCGGCTCCGAGCGGAGCCCCGTGCCGTCCATCTGTAGGTAGGGATCCCTGGTAACAACTTTCCAGGGCTCTTTTGTTTTTATGTATTGACCTTGCCATTCCTCTTTCCACTCTTACTTGCTCTAAAATGATCTTAAAATCCTTGTGACATAGGTGTTACAATTGGAATCGATTCAGCCCTTTAAAAAAAATTCATTTTTCTAATGCCACTGGGTTCGCGGTGCGTTTTGAACCATGCTTCACTTCTCCAGAATTGCTTTCTCTCCTTGGGCTTAGCTGTTAAAGCGGGGGGTCTTCGTGTGTATTAAAACACTCTGAACTATGAGAGCAACTTGGGATAACACCGGTGGTTAAGTAAGGATTAATCATGAGAAGAGTGGGCAAAAGCACAAGAGATGTTTTACAAGGTCTGGTACCAAGCGGATACCAAAAACAAACAAAAAAGTAACTATGTATGAACACTAGCAGGTTACAGCCCGCTTGGGTAAAGAACAGTTCATTGCTTCTTTATAAACGGGGTGAGCTGAGAAACCCCTCAGGGTTGTGGATATCTGAGCTTTGCCTCCACCTGAGTTAAGTTGGAACTGCTACTCTCTCTTAAAGGTTAGAGCACTGGCCAGGTGACCAGCCAGGAATCTAACTTTACCCATACTTTTTTTTTTTTCCTTTTAAAGAAGCAGTGCAAAATTTCCTTTCTGTAGCTCTTTCCGTGGTCTGCTGATACTCTGATTTCATAATGATCTCCTGGTTGAATTGTTTGAAACAAGTTAATATTTAATTTGGTTCTTTTAGTTTCGTTTTTAAAATCAAGCTAGTGGACTTTGGGAGCCTGGAGGGCAAGGGCTGGCTGGCTGGGCCACCTTTAGGCCACTGCTTCCTGGCCTCAGTTTCTCTTCCTTCCCTCCAAGTAAAAGCTTAGGCCTTAACTTGGAAGAATTGAAAGCATTTGTTCTTATCATGTGTATGAAGATAACCTTGTTTAAGGTGTGTGCCAGAGCTGTGGTCCCCCGGAGACCTAAGCTTCCCCAGGTAATAATATTGGTAGTTGGACTCTGAGCAAGTTACTCACACTCTTGGCTGTTTGGGGATTTTAGACAAGATAGAAAGAAAAATAGGAAATAATCTTATATCTATTAAAATAGGCAATGAGATACAAATGAGAACTTTTTAAATGTTAAGCTGAATATTTTCCTTTTTTTACTCCCTTCCTCCCTTGCCCCTTTTCCCTCTCTCCTCTTTCCTTCCTTCATTTTTTTTCTTCCTTCTTTCCTTCCTTCCTTTTTGAGACAGTCTCACTATGTAGAAAGCACTATGGTGATGGTTAAGAAGACGACTACTTTTTTTTTGTTGGTCGCGGGGCTTGAACTCTTGGCTCTGTGTCTCAGCTCTCCAGCTCAAGGCAAGTGCTCTACCGCTTGAGCTACAGTGCCACTTCCGGTTTTCTGGTGGTTAATTTGAGATGAGAGTCTCTGTGACTTTTCTGTCCAGGCTGGCTTTGAACCGTGATCCTCAGATCTCAGCTTCCTGAGTAGCTAGGATTACAGGTGTGACCCACCAGCGCCTGGCAAGATGACCACTTTGGATATAACCCTCATTGAGTTGGTTCTGCTCAAAAATAATATGTTGCTTCAGAAAACTTCTTTTTCTAATGGGGTAACAGGCCGGGCACCAGTGACTTAATCCTGTAATCCTAGCTACTCAGGAGACTAAGATCTGAGGATCAGAGTTCGAAGCCACCCCAGGCAAAAAAATGAGGGGAACAGATCAACTATTATCCCACAACCCAGAACGTCACCATATTATATCTCCCATTGTTTCTCACCGAGATGAGTGTGTAACACAAAAGCTAAAAAGTATTGAAGTACCCTGGGCTCCACAGTGCTAGCTGCTTGTAGAACTGTGCCTCGTCCTGTAATCCTTGCTCTCCTGTAATCCTATTCTCTTTTTACTGCGGAGAAACTATGGAAATTATGCAACTTTCCTGAAGTTGTACGACTAGTAAATTATTCTCTACAAACCCATGTTTCTTTTCTACAAATAATTTTTTAAACCTTTTTCCCACCCAAATATGGAATGGGAAGTGATTTTCAATGTTTACAATAATATCACCCTTTACTTTAAGATTACACTATCTCTATGACACTAAGATACTCAAGATACCCTAAATACAGCACCATTTTTGGTCTTCTATTATATGGCTGCATCTTAAAGAAGGCCCTATTCGACACTTGGTTCTTTTTGAGACTTTGTGTGTGTGTGTGTGTGTGTGTGTGTGCGTGTGCGCGCGTGCGCACGCGCATGTGTGTGTTGGTCTTGGGGTTTTAAACTCTGGGACTGGGTGCTATCCCTGAGCTTTTATGCTCAAGGTTAGTACTCTACTACTTGAGCCACACCTCTAGCTTTTTGAGGAAGTTAATTGAAGATAACAGTCTCTCGGACTTTCCTGCCCTGGCTGGCTTCTAAGGGTTGATCTTCAGTTCTCAGCCTCCTGAGCTGCTAGGATTATAGGCATGAACCATTGGAATCAGCTGATTTCACTATTTTAAGCAGTTCAGTATCAACTTTCTTTCTAATTGCATCTTCCCACTGTGATTATATTCTATTATTTTGCATTTTAAAAATTCAACTATGTTTAACTGCCCTTAAAAAATTATCTTCAAGGGCTGGGAACGTGGCTCAGTGGTAGAGCTCTTGCCTTGCATGCTTGAGGCCATGGGTTCGATTCTTCAGCACCCCATAAGCAAAAAAAAAAGAGAGAAAAGCCAGGGCTGGGAAGGTGGCTCAGTGGTAGAGCACTTGCCTTGCATGCATAAGGCCCTGGGTTCAATTCCTCAGCACCACATACGCAAAAAGAAAAAAAATCTGGAAGTGGCGCTGTGGCTCAAATGGTAGAGCGCTAGCCTTGAGCTGAAATGCTGAGGGACAGCACCCAGGCCCAGAAAAAAGCCAGACGTGGCATTGTGACTCAAGTGGTAGAGTGCTAGCCTTGAGCTGAAGAGCTGAGGGACAGTTCCCAGGCCCAGAGTTCAGGCCCCATGACCAGACCTCCCCCCCCCTCCCCCCGCCAAAAAAAATTATCTTCAAGTAGTTGTACAAAAGGGTTTCAATTCAAAGTATCAGTTTATACTAGAATGCATCTTGACCAATGTGACCCCTTCCATTCTCCCTCATCTCTCCTAATGCCATCCATCCCCTCAAATTACTTGGCTCCATTTTCACATGTGCATATTATGACAATGATTGCCTTCCTTTCCTCTTTTCATTTGTCTACCCTCCTCCTTGCCCTACCCCCTCTGAGAACATATGTTCTAGCTTCCTAGGATTCACTTTGTGAAACTGTAAGGGACTTGTTTACTATTGGAATCCTTCTTTTTAAAGACTACCTTCAGAATTGGAGGAGTTTATGTTTATTTATGTTTATTAATTACTCATTTAATGCATTATGGAGGATCCAACCCAGGGCTTCACAAATGTTAAACACATTCTTTACACTGAGGCTCATGTCCAGCCTTGCTGCTTGCTTTTGGATGAGAGGGGTGGGGGAAGGGAGAGGGAGAGGGTGAGGGAGGGAGGAAGAGAGAAAGGGAGGGGAGAGAGAGAGAGACAGAGACAGAGACAGAGAGACAGGAGAGAGAGAGAATGTGTGTGTGTGTGTGTGTGAGTGAACAAACTCAGGGCCTCACACTCTTGTGAGGGCACTCTACTACTTGAGCCACATCTCTATTTCCAGGGTGTTTTTTTTTTTTGTTTTTTGGTTTTCTTTTTGCTGGTTACTTGGTGATAAGGCTCAGATTTGGCTGCCCAGGCTGACTCTGAACTTCCACCCTCAAATCTCTTCCCTCTGATTAGCTAGGCATGAGCCACTGCCACCTGGCTAGAATGTAAAACTGTTCACCTCTGTTTTCCCTTACTGTGTTTAAGATTTCATCTAGAAGATCAGCCCTTTCTGTGGAGCTGCCCAGCAGGGTAGTAGCTCCTTACACAAGGGATTAGCTGATGAAAAGAGGACACTGGAGCTGGTTAAAGTACTGTTTGTGTTTTTATTATTAGCCATAGAGCTAAATTTATTTTGTGAGGAAATATATCAGCATGGAGCTATGCTAATTTTGCCAGGCAACTTGGAAAAAGCAACATTTTCTCTGCAGTTTACTTGCTCACTAAGAGGAAGAGAAAGTTAAGTATTTTCAGACAGTGCAATAATCAGATTTCACTAGGTTTAGAATAAGTTGCATCCAGATTAAATTCATCTTTTGTTCACCATCTATTTAATCTCTTGAAAAACATACTATTGGTAAAGACAGTGCTAAACGGTTTAAATAAAGTACAAGACTTTTCCGTGAGCTAACTTTACTTATAAGTACAGAGCATTTATTCACTTAAGATTCTTAAATTTTTTTTTTTTTTTTTTTTTTTTTGTCGGTCGTGGGGATTGAACACTGGGCCTGGGCGCTGTCCCTCAGCTCTTCAGCTCAAGGCGAGCGCTCTACCACTTGAGCTACAGTGCCACTTCCGGTTTTCTGGTGGTTTATTGGAGGTAGGAGTCTCACGGTCTCTTCTGCCC